TCCTGGAGGCAGGCTCATCACCTGCAGGGGACACGTTCAGCACCAAGGACAGCGGCCCGTCCCCCGCGCGGCCGCTCTTGTGCTCCTTTCCCGTCTGCATCCTCTCCACTGGCCTTGGGGTAGATGTGCTGTCCCCGTCCTTTCTGCTGGATCTCATGCCACTTCTGGGCGAGGGTGGGCAGCAGACACCCGATGGGGCCCAAGGTGGCCCTCCAGGCCGTGGCACTGGTGTGCATGGTGGAGATGGGAGGAGGTGTGGGCGGGGGAGGGCGAGGACACTGAGCTTCCCGGGTATACCTACCCCCTCCCCACCCACCAGTGCCTCAGGCAGAAGGCCACTCTCATCCTGGCCAACCTGGGACTTGGGTCAGGGTCTGCTCTCAGATGCCAGGTGCAGGATGGTCCCAGAGCTCCCTTTGACTCTCCTGGCTGGCTCTCGAGCTCCTGGGGACGTGTTAATGTGTCAGTCTGCTCCCTGAGGACCAGCACGCTCCCGGCATACCTGGGCCTTCCCTGGGATGCCCTGTGGCTCCATGGTGCCCAAGTCCTTCCTTGCAGTGGGCACAGGGAGACCTGGCACCCTTGGGCACCCACCGGCACACCCTACCACAGAAATGGAGCCTGATGTGAGCTGCTGGCGCCCGCTGCTCCGGGCCGCCACCCCCCTCCGCAGGGCCCTGTGCAGTGATCCGTGGCACTGCATGCTTTTCTTCTTGCCGCTGAGCCTCTGTGTGTGTAAAGACAGTAATTAGAGATGGAATTTCAATTGGAAAATAAACCACAGCACGTTGCAGGGTGGATGATGAAGACTGGCCCTGGGCTTCCCCATGCAGCCTCCCGCCCCCCACCCTCCAGGCTGCGGCCCAGTCAGGAGGGCCTCTCACAGCACATTCCCCACTCCCTGCATCCAGGAAGTGACAAAACGGCTCATAACCCAAACATTCTGCTCATAATCCCGAAGCTGGGGGGACCAGGATGCAGAGGGTAGCATTGCTGCCTAGGGCCCTAGGGAAGCTTTACTTAGGAGGGACATCTCCATGCTGGGCTTTGAGGGATGTATAGGAGTCTTCAGGGTACAGTAATGGGGAAAGGACTTTCTGGACATAGGGGCAGCAAGTGAAAGAAGATGGAGGCAGGAGTGGCAGAGCTCCAGGACACAGTTGTGGACAGCTCTCCTGTGCCCCAGCCTGCTGTGTCATGGCTGCCTTTTCCTGAGCCCTGGGGCACCTGAGCACTGGCAGGAGGCTCCTGGTGACTGTGGCTCCTCTGTGCCTCTGTCGTCATCCAAAAGGCCGCCCACCACCTGCAGCCCCCAGGCCCCAGATGCAAGGAAGTGGGCAGGCTCTGTGGGTGCGCCAGGCCCAACCCCAGTGGCTCCATCCCCACCGGAACCTCCTCTGGGAAGGTGGGGACTTGTCAGGAACACCCTGTTCCACAGGCCCCCTGGCCTCCTGGCCCTTCTGAGCCACATGTGCTGGCAGCAGATGGAACCACTGTTTCCTCGTCTGTGACATGCTGGTGGAGGGGCCCCACTCAGAACAGCACCTGAGGCAAGGCCGGTGTTCCTGATTGGTGGTGGGGCCAGCAGCACCCTTTCAATATTGGCTTCTGGGAAGTTGGCCCAGGTGGCTGTCAGGCTCCCCTCCATTTTCAGTCCCCTTTCTTTCCTTTTCTGAAATCAGGACGGTGCTCTCCACACATCTTTTGGCTCTTGTCATTCAAGGATGTGTCTGTACAGGCTGGGAGTATGCCTACATATCTGTATGTGTGCATGAGGGTGTGTGTACACTGATTGTGTGTGTGTGCATGAGGGGTATGCGTGCACTATGGGTATGTGTGCATGTACACTGGGGTATGTGTGTGCAATTGCAAGTGTACATGCACTGCAGTGTGTACTGTGTGTACACAAGGTGTTACTGGATGTGTGTGCATCGGGTGTGTGCACTAGGTGTGTGCACAGGGTGTGGGTGTGTGCATACAGGTGTGTGCACGGGGTGTGTGTGTACAGGGTGTGGGTATGTGTGCACATGGGTGGGTGCATTGGGTGTGTGTGTACAGGGTGTGGGTGTGGGTACACAAGTGTGTGCGCTGGGTATGTGCACAGGGTGTAGGTGTGCGTGTGTGCACGGGTGTGTGCACAGGGTGTGTGTGTACAGGGTGTGGGCATGTGTACATGGGTGCGTGCACTGGGTATGTGTGCATAGGGTGTAGAGGTGCATGTGTGCATGGGTGTGTGCATGGGTATGTGTGCACAGGGTGTAGGTGTGTGTACATGGGTGTGTGCACAAGGTGTAGGTGTGTGTGTGTGCAGAGGTGTGTGAATGGGTGTGTGCACAGGGTGTAGGTCTGTGTGTACACAGGTGTGTGTACAGGGTGTAGGCCAGTGTGTGCATGGTGTGTTCACGGGGTGTGTGTGCACAGGGTGTAAGGATGTGTGTATGCGGGTGCGTGCACTGGGTGTGTGTGCACATATGTACATGGGATGTCTACACTTGGTGTGTGTGCATGTGCACTTGTGCACGAGTGTGCCCTTGTGTGTGTGTGCATGCGTAGAGGCGTGCACATCCCTCAGTGTGTGCACAGTGCGTGTTCCTGCACTGGAACCTGCTGCTCTGTAACCAGCATCCTCTGCACTCAGCAGTGAGCGTCTTCTGTGGTCTGATCAGGTCTCACCACCTAACAGCTGCCAGTGCCCTTGGTGACTGCGTCCTGATGACTTCACTCGCCTCGTGTGGGGCCATTGTTTTTGAAAATACAGAGCCAACAGGACCACCCACAGGCCTCGTCACCCACCTGGGAATGTGATCCTGGTGCCCTTGGGGGCTTTGACCACAGCCTCCCTCCCACTTCAACCTCTGGCTCTCATTACATCCTGCAGCAGAGTGTAGGCCCTTCCTCCTTTGGGGTCTCCTGGCCCCGAAAGGACATAGGGGCTCCTGAGGGTGCCTCACGCTGGGCGTTTCTGGGTCATTCCTTCCCTTCTTTGGGAGTTTCTGTCCTGGCCTTTGGCTGCATCCTGCCAGGGTTGGTCCTGGAGGGTTTTAGGAGCTCGATGGCCTTGGGGCCAGAGGCTTCTGGCAGGGGCCACACCTTGGACTTGCAGCCATGTTTGGGGGACGTTGAGCCCCAGCTCCTTTCCGTGTGGGGGATTCCCGCCCTGGGGTGCAGGCCAGCCCCGTGCCTGGGGAGGAGTGCACTGCAGGAGCCTCCAGCCGCCCTGAATTATGGATGAAGGGTGCTGTGCCCTCCCGAGTGCTCCCCTGGCTGAGTGAATCACAGGCCTCTTGCCGAATCAAAGGCTGCCAGGGAGAGGCAGCCCCTCCTCCGTGAGCAGCCCCTGCCCTCCCGGGCCCCTCCCGCCCCAGGCACTGGGCTCTCCTCCTCGCCCAGCCTCTGTCCTCGCCCAGCCTGCAGCTCCCCTACCTCTGGGGAAGCCCACGTCTTCCGGCAAGGTCCTGGGTCCCCTGGTTGGCCTGGGCTCACCCAGATCCAGGCTGCCTGGCCCTTCCCCCCAACTCTGGGACAGGAAGAGGGGGGTCCACCCCGTCTGGAGAGCAGGTGGGCAGCCTAGGTGGTTGGTGCTGGAGGAGGTGGGGCTCCTGTGTCCAGACCTGGAGCCACAGAGGCAGAGGTGGTATCAGACTCACGGGGCGGCCGATGCCACAGGGCAGTGCACGGAAGGATGGTGTCCCCCAAAGCCCAGCAGGAATGCCAGCCAGGCTCTGGGTGTCTGGGCGCTCCCAGGAAGAGGGGTACCCTGTGGTAACCTGAGCCCCACGTGGTTCCAACATGACCCAACACGGAGTAGGCCGGTGGGTGCACCTGGGACCGTTGGTGGGAGGCGGCCTGGGTTGTGGGCGCCCAAGGGCATCTCCAGTGTCAAGGTCCCAGTTCAGGCCCGGGGTTGGGGGGGCTCAGGGGCGTGGCCAGGCTGTCCTGGGTGGGGGCAGGTACCTGGCTTTGAAAAGGGAAGAGAAGAAAGGGAGGGTGGGCTGAGGGGGCGGGGGATCAGGACCGTGTGCCAGTCGAGGCACGTCCCAGAGCACCCTGCCTGCCTTTTAGGTGGGTCTGGGAAGGAGATGCTGAGGGGCCATGGAGGTCTGGGGCAGTGCTGCCTGTGGAGTGGCCTGGGGCCCATCCTGCTGTCCTGGGGTGAGCTCAGGGCCAGCTTGGGAGCAGAGCAGCATCTCGGCAGAGGGATGCGGCAGGGGTGGGGGGTCTCAGCAGAGGGCTGTGGGGGGCGTCTCAGCGGAGGGCCTCCGGGGGGCTCTTGGCGGAGGGCCGGGGGGTCTCGGCGGAGGGCTTCAGAGGGGGTCTCGGCG